GGAGGCCAAATTGATCTGAGTGGCCTTCTCTGCTACCTGTGTCCATGGTGATACCCAGGTCTATAATGCCACCAAGAGCCATGTCTGGGTCTATGGTCTTACTGTAGCTGGAGCCTGTGTTGATGTCTTTGTCCCTCAAATGGCAGTGCAGGCCACTCATTAATACGGCCCTTGGCAGTAGTAAAATCCACAGGCATCAACATGGAAGGGTGGTGTTCTGTTGCAACTCTAGGGATGAGACTGCGGGACTGGATTTGGAGAGAAGGAGGGAGTGAGGAAGTTCTTCAGCTGGCTTACCGGTTTCCCAGTTCTGCTCTGCTGGAGTGTTCCTAGTGGATGCCTGCTGATGTTGGAGGCTGGGATGATGGGATGAGATGGGGGAAGAAAGATTCAGGGAGAAGGTACTTGTGAACCAGTGGGGATGGGTCTGACAGGAAAAGGAACAAAGCAGATTTTCTACTACAGAGCAGAGGTCGAGACCAGGAAAGTTGGAACAGGAGGAACAAAAGCAGAGGTGTGGATTTGCCTTCAGCCTACTTGTTTCCCTGGCCATTGGGTTAGCAAAGGGTACCTGCCTGGGTTGGAAACAGGGGACAAAGAAATATATGTGTGAAGAAGGAGGTTGGAAGGGATCTGCACACAGGGGTGCAGGGAAGGTTCCCAGGTGTTCTGCTGAAGAGCTGGGGATGAGACTGGGGGATTGGATCTGAGCAAACAGAAGAAGAGAAGATCTGCAGGTAGCCTACCTGGTTTTCTGGCAGGCACCGCCTAGAGTTGTGGCTTATAACCTATGGGTCATGACTCTTTAGGGAGGTCTAAGGATTCCTTTCAAGGGATAAAATATCAGATATTCACATTATGATTCATAACAGCAGAAAAATTCCAGTTCTGTGTAGCAAGGAAAGAATTTTATAGCTGGGGGTCACCACAACATGAGCAGCTCTACTAAAGAGTCCCAGCATTAGAAAGGGTGAGGGCTATCAGCCATGGCTTTATACAGCAGACAGTAATTAATATTCAAGAAGTCAATCCCCCGAATGAACAGTTCCCTGATGGGGAAACCTCGTCAAGCATGGCTGCAAGGCTACAGACTCCGATTATTGTTTGCTTCTGTCTGTAATTTCACATATGCAAAAACAGCTATGGGAATTTCCCCACTGCCTGTGTGTTTATCTCAGGAATATATTCCATCTTATGGGTATTTATATCTGTGGATTGTCTAGAATATGACTCCTCACTAACCTGCATTGTCTGTTTGATATCTATAATGTTAGCCTACATAGAATTTGATGAGTAAATATGAATACAAAGAAATACTACTTAAGTCAGGGATTGTAAGTCCCTGAGAACTGTTTTTATATCACAGCTCAGGTTGATATAAGAAATTAGTTGCATTGCATCTTCCCCAGCTCTAAGACAACTGTATACCATTAACTGGTTTAATGCTACAAAGTAATTTTAGATTAAGACCACGTGTCTTGCTAACGGATTTTAAGATACACATCCCCAGTAAAAGCAGTCTAGTTCATAGGGACATGCTGAGCTACCTGTAAATACAAAAAAAAAGCTCAATTATTGCTAGGTGGCAAATGCACCCATTCCTGATCTCAATTTGTGAAAATATATTCTGATTAGTTTACAGTATAACTTGACTCTGTAGCCCCTGATGAGAGCTGCAGGTGTTCTTAGACAATCAGAAGTTACATACAGGATAGAAAAATATATTTCAAGATTTAAAATGCCTTTTATGTCACCGTGCCTTGGAAAATGCCAAATGGGCTTGTATCAGGAGATTTAAGGTAAGCCTGAGTACCACCAAAAACATTTATGACAGAATGTCCGAGAAAGCCTGGCAATTCTGCTAATCACAAAATGTTAGTTTAAAATGTTTATTACACTCAGAAATATAGGATAACACAAATTCCTTATTTTTCTTAGACTCCTCAATAGTCTAGCTTTATTACTCTTTTAACCCTTTAATGCCTGATTCTTTATTCCCGACTGCAGCTGCACTTTATGGACAATGAAGAATCTGGGATTTATCACACGTGCATTGTCTGATGCTCTGCTTCTTAGCGTTTCCTGGAAGGTGACCTTAAAATGGAACTCATGTATTCAGCATGAGAGAACAAAGAAAAGCTGGAGCTAGAAGGTGAAAATAGAGAGGAGATTCAGCAGCATGAGAAAACCAAGAGAGATAACATCAGAATGTGTGTTCCCTTTCTAAACCCTCAGATAGAAAAAGTTCCTAAAGCCCCACTGCTCTGTGACATTCTCTTTACACCCAGCTGCAGCCTGAAAGCTGGTCAAACAGGCTGCAATAGTTGAGAGCCGCAGGCCTGGAGAGTACGAAGTATTCATGAATCAATCCCCTGCCACACTTTCAGAACACTCTGCTGGCCTGACCCGAAACCACTTCTCTTTTAGATGGAGTATGATCTCCCCACTTTTGCCTACTCTTCTCAGTTTTCATAAGAGCATGATGGGGCATGTTCTACTCTGCCAATAAGAAGTGCTGAGACAGAGGAGAGGCCTCTGACACTGGTGAGGCAGTGAGGAGTCTGCACAGACATGTACAGCTTAGCAGAGCTGGACGGACTATAACAGAGTTCTGTGAACAGAAACATTACTGGAATCTGTAAGCTGATTAAAAAAAAATTCATGTTATATTTAATCTGGGTAAGAGTACTTCTACTTTAGCAAGAGTGTTAACTGAGGTTTTCTGTCACTCCCCTCCCCCGCAGTCACTCAGTCCCAAAGAAAACCTATGATGGCAGAAAATAAGGCTTATTTAATTAGACTTAGAATATTTGGGTGGTTGTCTTTACTCTCTTTAGTGAAAATACATAACCCATCTTGGCTCTTTTCCTGGAGTTGTGATATCTGTCTCCATTCATGGAGTGTCTGTACCTGTTGACAACTGCCTGGAGAAGCCTGTTGCAGTCTCCCATCTGATGTGGGAATAGTTTCTTATTAATAAAGAAACTGCCTTGGCCCATTTTATTGGATAGAAAATTAGGTAGGCGGAGTATACAGAAGAGAATTCTGGGAGAAAGAAGGTTAGAGGAAGAGTCGCCATGATGCTCCCACTCCAGACAAACGCAGGTTAAGATCCTCTCTGGTAAGCCAGCTCATGGGCTACACAGAATATTAGAAATGGGTTAGAACAATATGTAAGAGCTAGCCAATAAGAAACTGGACCTAGCCGGGCCAGGCAGTGTTTGAAAGAATACAGTTTCCATGTAATTATTTCTGGGTATAAGCTAGCCATGCGGGCGGCCGGGTGCCGGGGACGCAGCCCTGCCGCTCCTATTTCAACAGATGGCGCCCAACGTGGGGCTAAATCCACTTAAAAACCTGAGAAGCCTTAAAAATAAGGGAAACAGAGTTTAACACAGATTTTTGCTGTTTTGTTGGTGACATGCTGTAGAGAGATTCCTGATTCAGCAACAGCAGCAGAGAAAAAAAGCTGCGTCATTTTAAAGCGCGGCTTCCTGGTGCTATGCTGCCAGCGTGAACTCTGGCTTTAAAGCATTTCAAGGCTTTTATGGGACTGGATGTTTCTGTTCCCACTTGGGATCGGAGGAGATTGCTCTGAGACCTGCCGATGGCTCAGCGTTCCCTGCCTACACCTGGGCAGATGGCGGAATCAGGCTTAGGCAGGCGGAAGAGCATGGCGGATTCCTGCTGCCATACAGAGACGCGTTTTCAGACTGCGCAGTGCTCTGCGTGTCAGATTTGGCTGTAACTTGGATAAAAAGAGTTTCTGTGCTGCACACTCAGTCTCAAAATTAAATTGCTGATTGCGGCTCCAATGTAAACTGCTGTTTGCCTGTAACTGTGCTCAGCTCAAAAGCACCAAATGACTCTGAGGCAGGAGCGGCTGCTCCTTGCTGAACTGTGCTGATCTCAGGCAGGAACTACCGTAATTACCTTAAAACCGTGCAGTTAAGGTTTAGACTGGGCAGGACACAGGCAGTACCGTATTACCTATACATGGTGCAACTTAAGTTTTTAAGAAATGCTTAACATTTTAAGAAATGCTCCTGGAAAAAAAAAAAAAAATTACAGATTCACAGTAAAACAGATTCAGACACCGTTGGATGAATGTACGTAGGCTTGGGGAAAAAAAGAGAATATAAAGAATAAAGTTAATGTCTTAAAAAGAAAAAGGGTAAAGTCTTTAAAGAGACAGAGTACAGAAGTACAGATAGTTATAGATTAAGAGAAATAAAGAAAAATAAGCCACGTAAAAATGAAAAATTCACAGAGAGTCTGGATTATGTACATTGTGTTTTCTTTAAAATTTTTGACTGTGAAGGAGCTAAGTACAAAGAGACATTTTATTATATGGGCTGCTAAGCTGAACCTGCACATATGTTCTAAAGGTATCTTGACTTCAAAATTTGGATCTAAGGATATGATGCTTTGGAGAGGGTCTTCTTTTGTTTCCACAGAGGATGTGACCCTATGGATTGCATCTATCCCGGTATGGTATGATAGACCACGCCCTCCTGAAAGGTTGCTGTGAACACCCTCAAAAAATTACTTCACTCAACTGCCAACCGAGATGAACCTGACACACAGGTTACACCCTAAATGATCTGATTAACAGTGCCCCCATTCAGCAGGAAGCAGTTTGGAGAGAAAAAACTACGCCCATGTTCCCAAATATTGTTTATAAATGTTCTTTTACATTTAAAGGGGGATATGATATAGATATGAATAATTTGCATTGGTATGGATTTTAAGGTCAATTTTGTTATATGTATATGTATTTTTGAACTTGATTAAGGTATTGTGATTATGTAGTTCACTTAAAATGTAATGTATAATTAGGAAATATAGGTTGTTAATGGATAATCATTGCTAATAGTTAAGCTTGTAGTCATGTTAGTTAGATTTTCTAGATATATAGAGATATATTTCAATTAGATAGGCATTCTTCATATCTTTCAAAGACTGCAGAATATGGCATTTAAAATATTTTAATAACTTAGGACTTTTCATGACAAGGAGACACGTCTGCTCCTGGCAGCACCAGCTACTTCAAGAGGAAGATGGGCATCGAAGAGGATCCTTATGGAGTTGGATAGTCATTTGGGCAAGAAACTGCTCTTGCCTGGACTGTTGCATAAACTGGACACAGAACCCGCAGAGAGAGGACTACTGGACTTGCCTAAAGGTGAGATGGTCTTTCGGGGTTCCTGATTCATGAAAGAGTCTGCGAGACATTCTGCAGGACACAGCAGAAAATGACTGAACTGTCTTTGAAATTTCCTGCTTCATGGAAATGTCTCTGCATAACATGGGCCTGTAGGCCGAAGATGGATGCCCCAACGGTACAGAGGAACTTTGGGTGACTGTCCAGGCAGCGAGATGTCTCTGTCATTTCTAGAGTTTTCTTATTTCTTGTTACTTAAGTATTATTATATCCTTCTGGAGTCTTTGATGGAGTTGAAGAATGAATAGTTATAGTTTTCCTTAGTTATGGTGAGAGATAAAATAGATATAAATATTGTAACTGTAATTCTTACTTGATAACTGTTTTGTTATATGTAATTTTACTGTTAAAGTTAAAGCCTTTCTTTTTTGTTTAAACAGAAAAAGGGGAAATGATGTGGGAATAGTTTCTTATTAATAAAGAAACTGCCTTGGCCCATTTTATTGGATAGAAAATTAGGTAGGCGGAGTATACAGAAGAGAATTCTGGGAGAAAGAAGGTTAGAGGAAGAGTCGCCATGATGCTCCCACTCCAGACAGACGCAGGTTAAGATCCTCTCTGGTAAGCCAGCTCATGAGCTACACAGAATATTAGAAATGGGTTAGAACAATATGTAAGAGCTAGCCAATAAGAAACTGGACCTAGCCGGGCCAGACAGTGTTTGAAAGAATACAGTTTCCGTGTAATTATTTCGGGCATAACCTAGCCATGCGGGCGGCGGGGTGCTGGGGACGCAGCCCCGCCGTCCCTATTTCAACACCCATCCTCTTTAATCATTGGACAATGTCGCACCAAGATACCCTAAAGGATTTCCTGCCCAACAACCATAATCTTTCTTGCCTTTATTGTGGAAACTCAATCCAAGTTTCTGATGGTGATCTTGATCCATCAGCCCTCCTAACACTGTTATTTCCTTCTCAGCCTGTTGTATTAAGGACATCAGAAGCTCAAAATGGCTTTGAAGAAGTCTGAGCTTCCACTGCATGGAATATTAGTTGTGGCTCCAGACAGGGGCATGGCCCCCACACCACCAATCACCCTGGAACCAAAACTTCCAGACCAGAAGGACCTAAGGTCATGGGAATGGGAAGCAAAGTTTTCCCCCAGGAGTCGCTAGGGGTGATAGTGAGAGGAGCTATTCCCTTTACTACCTCTTAATGCCTGGACCAATGGACATGGGCTAAGGAGAAAACTGCCTCCTGCAGAATCTTGACCCAGCACTAGAGGTTGATGGTACTTCTTTAATCTTTCCTTGTGTCTTGAAATGTCCAGTCCATCTTTCTGTCCTGACAGCTGTTTCAGGAAGTTGGTGAACACAGGAATATCAACTGAACACATCATAATGAGATGCAATAAGCATAGGCACAAACTATCATATCAAGGCTGGGGGAATCGACCAGAAGGAAGAAAAGGTTCCCAAGATCAGACAAAGAGGTCAGAGACTCCCCACTGTCCCACTCTTTAGGAGTCCCACAAGCACTCCCGAACTAAACAACCACAGTATGCATACAGAGGACCTAGTGTTGACCCATGCATCTGTGTGATTGCCTCTTCAGTCGCTGTGAGACCCATTGATTCCCGTTTATCTGACTCTGTGAACCCTTTACTCCCATCAGCTGCTGGAGAAAGCCTAACTGATGACAGCAGGGCTAGGCACCAGTCTCAGAGTGCAGCAATTTCTTAGGTATCGTTTCATTAACATTTGTGTGTGTGTGACTGTGAGGAGCCTGCACAAACTTCCGCAGCTGAACAGGGATGGATGGACTAAACTGGGCCTCTTCTAACAGAAACACCACTGGAATACAAAGAGATTCTACAACTTTTTTCTTTTTACATTTTATTTGGGTAAAATTTTGTCTACATAACTGAACAAGAGTCCTCTGCAAGAGGAACGATTGCTTTTGCCCACTGAATCATCTCTCCTGTCTCCAAAAACTGAGTTTGGAGGAAAAGTGTCTTCATTCTCTTCCCCTTCTCTTGTAAGAACACATTCACGTTTGTTTTCTCCTTTGCTCTGAGCCCTTGATCATATGTTCTGCACAGTCCTCCTATCCAGACAGATTTCTCCAAAGAAACCCTGTTGGGATGTGCTGGGGGCACTAAATAAACTGAATTCCAGTTTCCAAATCTCTGGACAAGAATCAAACCAGTACAGCAACAGAGGAGTGGCTGCGTAGAGTCCATCAGAGTTCATCACGGTTCCTCCCCTACCCTGCCATTCTGTAGCACCAAAAATACAAACCTAGAGATAGATATTGGGGTTCAAACTGACAACCAGAAAAGCAAAGCAGCCAAGTCGCTAGAGACGTTTTTCCTCTATCATGGCTGGATGACCATGGACTAAGCAGACTAAGCCTCTCTCTCTTCCCATTTTACATTACCTCTAGTGCTGGGATTCTCTAGAACAGGGATTGAAGGTGTGAGCCACCACCACCTGGA